AAAAATGGTGTTGGATTATAATCATAACATCTACTAGCTGACTGATCAAGATTGTTCAAGTATTGTAAAAAAATTTTATTATGTGTTTCACACCGTGTGTAAAATCAATTGTGTAACATCAACGTTTCCTCCTGTTCAGTGTCCCTGCCAACGGGTGACCCGAGTGATGATTACCCGGATCGGAACACTAAAATTACAGCTATATTCGATATAATTTTGAATTTGGCGTTATCAGCATAGGGATGCAGAATTATGCCTTTCAAAGTTGTACTTGTGAATTATGATTAGTAATAATCAATTGCAAATAACAATATTTGTACTCATTACCGTTACGATCAATACATGGTTTTTGTCACATGATATGTGTAGGGGATTTCTATTGGTTGATATATTAAAAAAATAAAAATTTTGGACATGAAAACCGACAAACTGGATGACTGTATTATTGTTTTCGTATATCCTGCTATTTCTCGTTACGTTGAACCGACATAAATCAGCCAATCAGACGAATGTTTTCCTGATATATAATTTCAACAAAGCAGATTAGATGCATTTTCATAACTTTCGTAATGCGAATAACCCTTACTCGAGAAGGTCCGTTATTCATTTTATCAATGAAAAATGGTGAAAATCGATTCACCACAACTTTTATTCAAGAAATAAATGCCATTTTGGATGAAATTGAATTTACCATCAAACAAGAAAATTTGGAACGTGCAGCACTTATTACGATCGGTGAAGGAAAGTTTTACAGCAATGGTTTAGATTTAGAACACGCACTAAGTACCCCTGGATTTTTTGAATATTATTTAACATTACTGGTCAGAGTTTTAACGTTTCGAATTCCTACCGTTGCGGCAATCAATGGACATGCCTTTGCTGGAGGATTCATGTTTGCTATGGCACATGGTGAGTTGTTATTTACAAGAAATATTTAAACTCAAAATAATCTGTTAATTGTAATTCAGATTATCGTGTTATGAGAACTGATAGAGGATTTATGTGCATGGTAATTCTTCATTCTTCATAATTAAACATTTCAAATATTCTACATATTAACCACCCATCATATATTTCATTATTAGAACGAAGTTGAAATTCCATCACCACTTCATCCTGGTATGGCCGCGATAATTAGAACTAAAATGACACCAAAAATTTATCGTGACTGTATATTACAGGCTCATAGGTTTAGTGGGCAGGATGCATTGAATCAGGGACTGGTAGATATAATTGCGCCAGAAAAAGATGTATTACCTAAGGCAAAAGAGTTAGCACTTAAATGGTCAAAATATGCAAGTGCAGGGGATATCTATGGAGATTTGAAAAAAGAAATGTATGTTGAGGGGATCAAATATATGGAGATTAAAAATTGGAAGCCCAAATTATAATTGATTATTGATTAATGAATCCTTTGAACTAAACTTATTTATTAACCAATACAAATGATGAATTGTATTTCTTTATACATGTATCTATAGTGCTTCGTTACACAAAGTTAATTTTTGTAAATGATACCTCATTATATTAAACTGAGATCTTGTAACAAAAAAATTTTATAATATAAATTTGATTAATAAAGTCTTTCCCCTACAAAAATTGGAATTTGATAATCATAAGATTCAATCTATGTTTTCGTAAGAATTTTAGAGCCGGGTTTACGGATACATACATACCACATCACGGGAATTTGTTCACGTGATCGCCTATTTTTTTGATACATGTAAACATACCCTAAAATTAACCAATAAGATCGCACATTATTATAGTAAAGGTTAGTAGAAGTATAGGAATTTTAGAGTATATTTAAATGTATGTTTTGTATTAGAGTAATGTTCAGAATTATGATTTTATTCTATGGCATATAAAATAGACTGAGTGTTACAAAAAAACCAGATTTTTGAAAAATCAATTTTTATGTTAAATTAAGTTTAATGCTCACCAGTAGTAAATTTTACTAGTCAATCAGAATTAAAGATCAGATATAACATGTAAAACAATTTTATATAATAAAAATAAAAAACTTTTTAAAAATAATTAATAACTCAAAAACAAATAACTCTCCCTGACGATCACTTGTACTGAATTTCACACCAACAAAAACAGAAAACTTATTGGAGAAAGTAGAAGAGGCTACTATACAAATA